TAATCAATGCTGCACTGGATTTGGCTTACACACTTTCTAAATCAACTCAAGCTAACAATCAGTAGGGCCTATCAACTTAAGTGTGTTCACAAAAGCTATGGGCTAACCTCAGTTACTTACACTGCTTGTAAAATCACACATGTAAGTAACTGGTACAACTCTGTAGATCATGTCCTTCATCCACAGACCTTAAGAAAGAATACATGCAATATAAAGAATCCCTATCCACAGATCTAAAAAGTATACTAAATTTCATATTGAGTTTCTTAAGAAAATGAGCTCAGATCTTGAAATGCTGACTTGCTTCAACAAATTAGAGACAATCATTACTAGAAACAGACGTTGAAGACAGATATAAAAAACACAGGAATTATGTATTCATCCCTTCCTTCCCTCAACTAACAATAAGCTGCATTGCCCATAAAGAGTAAAAAGCACCTAAACCCACACAAGGACTTAACCTTAATGACCACGATGGTGCACTGGCTTCTTACTAAGTACTATGCAGAATTTTAAGAACTCATTTTGACTTAAAAATTCTGTATTTCAAAGAGCTCAACTGTTTGCTTATGCCACTTCACCACAATCTAGTTAAGGCCACTGATCTGCAATGTACCAGACATACGTGTTCCTCATAAATGTGTCTGTGCATGAACTTTAGAAAAACAGTCGAACTGTACCAACCTTCAGGGTGTGTACAATACGTAAGCAATCTCTTTTCAAGGCTGTATGTGAAAAGGAGAGGCTTATGTTATTGCTCCTGAGTTACTCTTGCCTGTGGTGCATGTGTTGATTAGTGATGGAAGGAGAATTACAACTGCAATTACATGTATGGCAAGAAAGTGGTCTTTCCTACACAAAAAAATAAACAAAAGAAGTACATGTGATAACTTCAAAACCACAAACAAAGATGTGACAATGAAGTGAGAAGAACAAGCACACAATTGTAACTGGCGGATATAAAGAATACCCCATGCAACACAGCTACCGGCAATAATACGCTGAAGAAGCTTATGGGCAACACAAGGACTTACATACTACAAAACAATTTGCTGCTGTTGAAATTCTGTGATAGCAGCCTTCATGGTATCTCCACAAAATCGGTTTACGTTGTGACCCCTTGGGAAAACACAATTTCTTTAATGCTGACAAAACAAAGTCTGAATAAAAGTTTCTATGATGTCTTGATTCTTAAATAAGAAAATAAAAAAAAAAAATCAACTTGACTTACAGAAAGTGTTAAATAGCAGCAAAGGGCTAATTATACCATACCAACTTCCTTTTGTCTAGTATAAAAGGACATTTTCTTACTTTGCCTGGCTGAGTATAATAGCCTATGAATTATGAGATCAAAGCAGCAAACTGTATGTTTTCTAAAGTAAGAGTTTCCTTCACCAAGTTTTACACTTACTACAGCTAAAAGAGCTGTGTGAAGGGATCAGCACTAAACCCAAAGGACAGGCTGTGCACAGCAAGAAAGAGAGCAACTCCCTCGTGCTTTTTGCAGGTCACTACCAAGGACCATGTTAGCAGATCCACACCAGACCCTTAACAGGCAGCTCTGCTGCTACCAGTAATTAGCTTGGACAGCTCTGGCTCCAGGAGTAGCAGCAAGGCTACACCATAATGAGCTCAGCTGGGATTAGCAGGACAGGGCAGGGAACCAAGAGAGCTGAGGCATTCTGCATTGCGTATGTATCACAGAGATCAAACAAGGATGGCTGGCTAGGTTATCCCCTCACCACCTCATTCCAAAAATGAAGCACGGCAGTGTGTAAAATACAGGCTAATGAAGAGCGACACCTCCAACAGATGAGAGCCACATTAATTAACACAATCCCTAGATCATGGAATACAGTTTCTGTTAGTGCTAGCAAACTTGTAACTTGTCACTGATTTAAGAGGGGGGGAAAAAGGGGAAAAAAAAAAATAGCTGATGTTTTCCTTTTCTGCTTTTGGTAGAAGATGGTTTTATCTTGGAATTTTGCAAGAAATTCCTCTTCTGTGGCTTGCAAAGCACTACCATCAGAAAAAATAGCAGAATGTTTATGTAAACACCATTTAAGAAACAAAATTACTTTTCAATCAACAGCTTTTTGTGTTCCCTTTTGAAAAAAGCCAGTTCATTCCACACAGCATCAGAATCTTCTTGACAAAGCTGACGGGGGTCTGCATGCTGGTAACTGCTTTTACTACTTTCAAGCCTGTTTATGAGCAAAAAGAGGTTGTTCATTTTCAAGTATCTACATGTTTTAGGACCACAAGAATAAAATCATCCTGGCTTTCAGAAAATACAAATTTTTAACTGCGGCATCTACTGCATATAAATTTTATATGATGTAGACATTCTGTGAGGCATGAAACCTTAAATGCGGTATTATAGAAAAGTTCAATTAGGTAGTTTCAGACAGATACTGTGCTAATATGGCACCATTACTCTGAACTGACATGTGGCAGAGCAGTGTCAGCCACATTCATTCTGTCAACATTCCTTACAATACTGGTATGAGAAAGCAGAAGGTGAAACCATCACACAATCTCTTTTAAAAAAAAAAAAAGGGAAAGCCACCAGCTCCGCTAATGCCCCTGCAAACCAATCTGGAAGTTGCGGTAATGCCCACTCAAATCAAACTGTTGATCTACAGTCTAATGAAAGAATAAGCTATCTATGGATAAGATGATGCATCAGGACAAAGCATACAGAATTTAGAAGCATAGAAATAGAAAAAGAAAATATTTTGCAGGGGTTTTTTCATTAAAATATTTCATGTATTTTAATAACGCTAAAGATAAAAATTGTATTTTAAAAAATCCTTTATAAAATGAATTTAAAACTCTCTGCAATCTAAATTCCTACCGGGCAGAGAAATAAACTCTCAGAGAATGTGGTAACCTCACAAGGCCCCCATCATCTTTGCAGTCACGTATGTCAGTGGAAGTTGTATGTACACTGACAGGTGGATTAGGTCCCATCAGCTGCCATCTCAATAACAGATTCTAATCTGTTAAGAATAAGAAAGAATGGGGTCCTCCATCACTTACAGAGGATCAGAAGTGCCAGGTAAGTACCTGATACTGAGTTCTTAATGTACAATTTACATTACACCAGCAACATAAAGCTTTTTGAGATACCAAAATAACAGTGTAAGGTATAACCATTTACAGATCATTTTTATTTGTATCTTAGCTACTTTCCTTTGTTTAAGCATATTAAAAAGGAAAAGCAAAGCTCTTTTAGTATGATGGCTTTCTACAATTCAGTTCTGACAACAAATGTCATCAAACCCCTGTCATTTTCAGCTCATCTTAAGTACAGATGAAAAAATCAGATGAACAAATAAAGATTTAGTATTACACTTTCTCCAGCATCTACTTTTCTCAAATATATTCCTGTCAGGACACACGTTGGTCTCATTTATTTTAAATGGAAACAGAAGTTGGTTTTGTCTCTTTCTCTTGTCTTTTCTTCTCTTCCTTTTTTTTTTTTTTTGAACTATTAGAACCAGAACACTCAGAGCTTCACCCTATTATCAAGTTTGATTTTACTGTCTTTATCTAGGTTGAATTTTTGTATCTTTTCAGGCTTGGCCTCTCAGTGGACCATGAATGCCTACTTAGCTTTAGACACAGAATCACATCATTTCATTGTATAAAGTAACTGTCATCCAGTAGGTTTCATTTCCAGCTTGCACTGAATTTAAAACAGTGAGCTAGAAGATAAAATCATCCATGTTTTTCCTAAATAAACAAAAACTTTTCATTCTAATTTAAACAAATCTACTTACTATTTATGGTTTGATATTTCCAAAAAATCTTTCTGTGCTCCCAATGCCTGTAGCAGATTTGTACCTTACCATTATTTTCATCCACATATTTTTTTTTCTTTTTAAAAGACAAATGATTCTTAAGTAAATGCTCTAGTATTATAAAGCATTGCAAATCTATTCGATAAGTCAAAGCATTACTTATATATAAAGGCTTATCATTCATAGTAGGACGCTTTATGTCACCCTGGACTTTATGAACAGCTACCAGCTTTGCAGCAATTTCTGTGATTCCCTTTTCTGTCAGCGAGAGTTACAGAGTTGTGTCAAGATTAGTCAGTATTGCTGCCATTACAAAAGGAATTATTTTAGTAAAACACGTACGTGTTTACTAAACTTTAGATTCACATCAAAGTTCTAATACAGCCACCAGGATGTAAGGACCAGCTCAAAATACTTTCTTGAAACAGGGTCTGAAAAACTGTACCTTAGCAGTGTCTGAAAACTGAAGTGATAAGAAATGTCTTCATACCTCCAAATGTATCTGTTTTCCAAAAATTCTAACTCTTTGCTAAGCACTTAAAAATAAAGAATTTCTGCACAAAATTTTCACTGTTCTGTATAGAATTTAAGGGAGAATTATATATAGAATATTCATTATTTAAATTTTGATGTGGTAGTCTTTCTTCTTTCCATTAAAAAAGGCATATTGCTGCAACATTTTTGTAGAATGATCAGAAATAATTGATTTTATAATCATTTAACAGATGAAAACACCCTGCTTTTCATGCATAGTCTGTTTTTCCCCTATTAAGAAGGGGATTTTAGGATTAGTTTCAGTTAATGTTTGAACCACTAAATGTTAGAGAGGCAGTTATTTCTATATTTTATTGAATAAAATTATTTTTAAAAACTATTTGAAACACAAGGAGCAATTGTTCTATTATAGAAAATTAAAAACATACACGGTCAACAAATTAATGCACTGGGGAATTAGACAAGCATAAATAAGCAGCCCTAGCAGACCTTTGTCCAGTACTCAGGCTCACAACGAGATCCGAAATAAAATAAGTCAAGGTGTGTCAGCTCAATACATTTTACTCTTGGTTTCAACTGTAGTTTTTCTCATATGGGGGAGTATGCCATGTATTGTGCTTTAACAAAGGATAAAGTCTCAATGACCACATAGTAGCTTCTTCCTTCAAATTATATTCTCTTTTGAATACCTATATACCTATATAATACTTTTGTTCAGATTACTTGTGTAAGGGAAATGTTTTTAATGAGCTATGTAACTTACCTGCTATCGCCCTCTTCCCACAGCTTTAATTGCTCTTTTAGTGCTCTGTAGTTGGTCTGTAACATCTGCAGCCTCTCTTTGTGTTTTTCATGGGCTGCTCTTAGCTCATCAGTTTCTCGAGTCTATACAGCACCAGAAAAACAAAATTAGAGTTAGGCAAAATGTAAGAGACTTTCACATAGATGACATGAAACAAAAGCTCTGCTTACGTAACTATTAAAAGCCTCAGAAATCTAAATGGAAAGGCCAAGAGTCACAATCCTGAGGTCAAATTTTTCTTATTGCTACTTTAGCAAATTTTGCTAATTTGGCAAAAATTTACTTAAGTATTTTTTTCATGCTGCTGAGAAGTTTTAAAAAAATTACTACCAAAATGTCAGTTTTCATCTTGTGAATGCATTGGCCTAATACATCTAAAAATACATAGACTGAAAAAGGATTGTTGGCCCTCACTTTTGCTCCAAACTACTTTTTTCTTTTTTTTTTCCCTGTGGAAAACTACTCTATGTATTTTGGAGGAAAACACTGGCTACACTGAAGTCCACATAAAAAAAAAAAAAAAATATGAGGAAAACCAGAAGCCATTTAATTTATTTCCACAAATATATGCAAACCCACAACACTCAGGCTTTGTCTTCTAGTTATGTGAGAAACGGGAAATAAAAACAAATTTTTCAGTAACTTTTATATAATCAAAACCATATAAAAAAATGTACTCTCTTTTCACAGAATGAAAAGTAAGGAATACCTTGATTTATACAACGGGATAACATCATGCAAGTTTAAAAAAAAGATTTTCCTAAGTGACAATACTGTGCTCTGAAAAAAATGAACATTAAGAAAAAGACATTTCGCAGTATAAAGCAAGCCAAACTCTGGCACACAGCAGTAAAGAATTCACCAGAAATTATCCTGTAGTAAAATTTGCCCTCAGTGCTTCATTTCCAGTTCAATGGGAGGTCTGTTTGCAGAGGCAACTACAGAACACGTTCCTTAACCTCAAAGTAAATCACAATACTTTATTTGCATGTATCTACTGCTTATATATAAGGAGGGCTTTTCAGCATTAGTCAATAAATAAGATACACCAATAGTCAGAGCTGCAAGCAATAGAAATTAAATCCCACTATAAAAATATCGTAAGGGTTTCTACAGCAGTGCTAACTACAAAGGACCTAGACTAAGCTTGGCTTCTAAAATGTAGACCAGCTTTCATGATGCATAAACAAATCTGGAAGACACCAGCTAAAACTTGAGATGCTACCATATATAATATTCCAGAAGTTTTATGGAAGTGACTCAGGCAACACAAAAAGCAGATTTAGGAATAGAGGCAGGTACCAAAGTGATATTACCATTAAATACTTTCCCAAAGTGGTGTTGGTGGTTTTTTTCTGAAACAACCTCTAAACCAGGTACATTTATAAAGTTAGAACTGCTTAAAAAGTACTTTTGACTAGTTCTAGGTGGCTCATATAAATACTACAATGATATTAAAAACAATCACAGAAATAGCAAGATAAATTTGTGACAAAGGGTACAGAGACTATTACCAAGCTTTGCTTGGCACTACAATAGGAAATTTTTGTAAGAATCAAATTATAGATACTGCGTTTTCAAGAGAAGTTCATGAAATCATTGTTCTGAGATTGTTTGATATTGCTAGTGAAAACTGATCAAGTCTGGCAAGGCACTGGAAAATAATGTCTTCAGTGCAAATCCTCATAAGTTTATTAGTGTCAGTGCCCTTTCAGAGATGCAACCAAGTGTAGAATTTGCCCTTTTCTATCTATGAATCTATATTTTTCATTATTGCTTACCTGTTCCATTACCCATTCTGTTACAGTTATCCCCTTCCCTTTTCAGTTGCTCTGCTCTCACAGAAATAGAAATTAAACAATTAATTGTCCTAATCACTCTCTTACACTGAATTATTAAGCACTTAAGAACTTCAAATTTACACTGCTATTTCCATAATCTCAATTAGTTCCACTTCTCTCTGACGGAACCATGTTATATCTTTTAATAATTAAACTCTCTTGTTCACAGTTTTCTGTATATTCACAGAAATGGGACAGAACAACCATCTCAAGCAGTACTGGATCTCCAGGTTATTCTCCAGCTCTCCACTGTCATTCTATAGTACTTCCCGTGCAATAATGAAAGACAAAAAGACGAAGTCCGATCTGCAGGAGAAAGAACCCAACTGCCTGTGAAAAAAAGTCCTTTTGTTATGTGCAGGCAGCTCAGACAAGCCAGAATATTCTAATCACTACTTCAGACTTTTGTTGAAATTCACCTGTAACAACTTCTGTTACAGTAAAAATTGAACTAAAATGGAATTAAAAAAATATACTGATTCAATTCTTTGACTGCTCAGGCTGACAAGAAGTGAGAAACTTGACCATTATAAAAATAGTTTTTTCAACAAGTAGTTATGTGGAAAAGCCACAATATTAACATATTTTTGGCACCTGAACACCATACATGGAACAGGACTATATGAACAGCATACATACAAACTAAAATATAACCGTGTGCCCTTGCTCACATAAACAAGTATTAAGGTGGCCCTAAAGACTCATCTACATATTCTAGTTCTAATTCTTTCCAAACAAAAAGGATGAGAAAACTCAACTGAAAGTTCTCTTTTTTGAAAACTTTCCAGTTAGAGCCAGGAGGATCTCCTCTAGGCTATGTCAGGGATCACAGTTCTGGGAACATAATATGGGAGAAGAGAACATATTTTTAGTTTGTATCAAATAACTAACTCTTGGCAACGAAACTCCTACCCACTTCTTAAAGACCTACAGTAGATAGATGTACTTATGCTTTGGACCACTCTAAGGACCAGCTTGATAATTTGTTACTCAAAATCCATGATTTCTTATTTACTTTGACATTCTCTTCTCTAAACAAGGGTGGAATCAGGCATGCCCTATTACTTTTTAGTATGTCCTGGAGTGCAGAAATGAAGCTGATTCTGTACCAAAACTATGGACACATTGAATTTACATGATTACTCTATTTATATTAGCAATAAAGACAGTAAGAACCAACTTTCCTTGTCCACAAGTGAGTCAGCTGAGGAGAACTGGAAAATCCTATGAATGGGACCTTGCCCTTTTCTGTTCCTTTGTAGTGCTGACTGGGGCATCAAATATTCCTGTTCCTGAAAATCCCAAAGCTGTTCATCTTTTTTTTTTTTTTTTTTTTTTGTAATTGCTACCAATTTTTCAAAGGACTGATGGATAAAATCACAATTTCATCTTCAGGATAGGCATCATCAGTATGTTTAGTGACAGAGAAAGAATTTTTCGAGCAAGTATATTTCAAGTAATCATATAGCCAACACTTTGCTTGAGGAGGCAATAATGCAAGTGCCAGTTTCAAAAATCTTGATCCCATGCGTTACTCTTTGTTGGAGGCAATGCCTGAGAGGAGGTTAATATCAAGAAATCATACAATACCAATAGAAATATGCTGAAAACGTTACAACAGCTGAGTTCCCTGTTATGCTGGCAATAGACTCATTGAATTCTGAATGTAGTACTACAGCAGTGTTTGAAATGTTGACCTGGGCCTCTACAGCTTCTTTTCAATCAATTAAAGCATTTTGCTAAAGAAGCCAAGTAGGCTTCTTAAAAAAAAAAAAAAAAAACAACACAAGGAGCTCATATATTCAGTTTCAAGGGAAGAGATAAGGCTTAGCCCTCATGGATGAACAACAGTGATAAACAGAGATCCCACACTTGAAATATAATAAAGCTGCACAGATTCCTAAATTATGCTTTAAGATGAAACAGAAGAAATGACAAAGGCAGTATGGTGAAAAGTAAATATTATCTTATGAGGTCACGCAGAGAGAATAACAGTCCTTTCTCTTCTGTATCTGCTTAGAAAATCAGAGTGCCTCTCTTCACTCCTCTTTCCTGAAGAAAACACAAAGAATTGTGGAACTCTCTATCATTTAAGACAACAACCATACACGCTGATGTGTGAGCTTTGCTGCCCAGGGCGGAGCAGCTGTTGTCCATAGTGCCTGCATAATCTGTAGCATCAGAGTCTGGCAGGCCAACTAAGAGTAACAAACAGGAGGCCTGCCAAAGGCCAGTTCTCAGGTAGTGCTGGTAGGCCATACCTTAGATTTCTCAAAAGAGAGAAAAAACAAAACAAAATTAATCTTCTGACTCCCAGAAACAAGGAGCCAGATGGCCTGTAAGACTAAATTTGAAGTTTAAATCCTATTTCCTGTTCATATAACCTATGTGTGGCAAGACACTACATTAAAATCTCTCAAGTATACAAGGTGATGAACTTTTGCATTTGTGCTAAAATATAATTCCCACTCATGTTTCTTCTCAAAGTGACTTACCACATGAGTGTCTTTTTGCATGAGGCAGAAGCTCAGGACTATGGTTTGTAGGGTGCCCCCAATTTTTTCACTTACCCCGTATTTATCACAGCATGTTCAATACAACCAGTTCTGCTTTAGGCTACATACAGTGAAACTATCTTTCAAATTCCACAACTCTGAACCAACATGAAGGGAAGGAGAAGGGAAGGAGAAGGGAAGGAGAAGGGAAGGAGAAGGGAAGGAGAAGGGAAGGAGAAGGGAAGGAGAAGGGAAGGAGAAGGGAAGGAGAAGGGAAGGAGAAGAAAAAAGGAGGAGAGTACAAATTGTAAATGTTTAAGAAAATATGACTCAGGGCTTGAGTTTTGCATTCTGAGGTGCAATTTGGAACAAGTCAGTCATTCAACAGGTACTATTTTTGAAGTTAAAAACCAAACCAACAAAAACAAACCAACCAAACTCTATAAAATGGGGACAAAATTGGAAATTGTAATACATGCTCAATTCAGCTTTTCTACAAAGGGCTGGAGGCATCTGGGGGGGGGCTGTTTGTTGGGGGTTTTTTTTACAGCATTTGTTAGAACAACAACTTCTAAGCCATAACTTCTAAGAGTACAAGGGGACAAGGGGTAAATCTGTGTCAAGTAATTGACTTCAGCATTTTAAAATACTGGCTTCACTGTATAAAAAAATTTTTCTGCATACTTTCTGCTTCACTTTATTTCTGTATGAATACATTAATTTCTTGGAATATATAGAATCAGACACACATTTTGAAAATGTATTTAACAAGCACATATTGATGGCAGCTCGAATTAGGCTTCCGTAGGACTGCGGGAGTACCAACACAGGATTCCTAGCAGTAAAGGAAAAAGGCAAACTAATGGAGAGTGCTCTCTTATGCTAACACAGTTACAGTCCATAATGATATGTGCATTTTGCATTTTTAAAATGTCTGTTTATTTTGGTATATCTTTATCTATGCAAGCTTATAGCTCGCGGGTTTTTTTACTTTTATTTTTTTAACGTTCACCTTTAGCTGTAGTGTCTTCTCTAAGTTTTCAATCTTCCTTTCAGCTATTTTAAGCTTCCTTCGCTCCTCTGACTCTCTAAAAGAGCTCTTTGGGGACAGAGACCTTGAACGTTTCACAGGTGGTTCCTGGAGAATAAAACAAGGACATGGTTGAACTAGTTGGAACACCGGATTATGAAAGACATGCAGAATTAAAGAAGAAGTAATTTTGAATACTAATAATGAATTATAAAAAAAAAAAATCTGCATGGAATACCAGAGAAATAACAAGCAGAATTACCACAGCGCTACCACTAAAGGTTTCTCTGTGACTCGTTAATGAGAATATTCATTTACATTTACATTGTTTCTTTCAGAATAATGATGTCCCATTAGGGAAGACTAAAGGGTTATAGACTCAGAAATGCAAGAAACCTCATTACAAAGGAGGGGATAGAGGCTGGTCTAATTGCTCTATAAGGGTCCAAGGTTACACTTGATAGGACAACCAGAAACAAGAGGGAAAGGATTTTTTTCCCTTTGAAATAGTTTAACACACTGTGAAGTTGAAGGAACAATATGCTTGAGGAATATAAATACAACAGACAGTAGATCTTATACCATAATGACCATATGGTCATTAACTATAATGTGACTAACTAGAGACAAGAATATGTGTTTATATTATGTACAGCTTCATATAGCAATCTGGAGAAAGAATATGCAAAAGCAACACTTAAACTGGGCAGCTTTCTTGTTCATTCTATGTCATATGTCCTTACGGCAAAGAAAGAAAGACCTCATCAAATTAGACTTTCTGATTTTCTGAATAACTTTGGTTAAGGACAGAGAAATACTAACACACACTTAATACCAGTAAGGTAAAATGACATTATGTAAATACATAAAGTCAAACAAAAACTTAAGATTAATTGCGATTATTGTTGTTGCATGCTGCCATTTTCACTGTAAAATAACTGATTTACAACAAAAGAAATTCAGGATAAATTCTTTTTGAGTACTATATATTTCAACACTTTCACTACCCCATTAAATTAATTTAATCTTAAAAGCGAATCTTAATTAGTCACTGGCATTATTTTCTTTGACCATAACCTTCCAGTATTAAATGTTTATAAGACACTGTATACCACACTTTCACTTTAAATCATCTGAGTCTCCAAAAAGGAGAAAAAAATTATCATGAAATATCAGAAAATAACATCACATATTTAAGAATTTAAATATTGCCAGGGTTTTTTTGGTTTTTTGTTTTCTTTTGCTTCTGAAATGTGCCTGAATGAGATGGAAAAAAAACCCCACCACTACCACCCCCAAAAAAAAACCCAAAGTAAAACAAAAACACATGCAAAACCCCAACCAAAAACAACAACAACCCCCCCCCCCAAAACAAAACTAATGTCTGGAAAGAATGTTAGTACATTTAAAATCTGAATGTCAAATAGACATATTTTGTATATTCCTGACAGTTCCTTTATATAACAGAAGAAACTAGAAGAAAGTTTTAATGACCATTGAAAATAATATTTCCAAATTTACGGGTTTATATTTTCAGTATAACATTGTACTGGCTAAGAGTAGATCTCTTTGAAATAGTGAAGTTACTGATTTACATTTTTTTCTAATAATTCTGGCAGGGGATATCCAAAAGTTTACTTCAGTTAATAGATGCTGATATTAATCAGTAAAGATATTAAAATTGCACAAAACTAAATTTGATCCCTTTCAGGTGTCTGCAGCAGAGAATGCCAAGAACAACATATAAAAAATTACATTCATATTCAAAGTCCCAAATTTCTTGAATAAAATTAAGATCTTAAATAAAACTCCTGTCTTTCACATTTCCTAATTACTGCATACCCATACTAACTTTTCCTAAAAATCCAGAACACATTATTTTTTAAGAAATGTCTCCTACTTAAACTTTATGTTTGTATACAGAAGACTTGGAAAATACATCATTTCTCTGAAATCAGGAATAAAAGGTCAAAGCACTTCATTTGTTGCCAAAGAGAAGGACAACAAAGGAAAAAAAGTGGACCAAGCAGCACCAGACTGCTAAGAATAACTAGGTCGAGAGACTCTACAGAAGTATGGAGAAAAGAAAAAAAAACACAGAAAAATGTATACTGCTTTAATCAAAGGTGACCAGATACAATGAGTACACAACAGTTTTTCTTTCTATATATACACACATACACACACTTTATATATAGCTACCTGGGATTGCACTGTGAATCTTTTTCACAGGGCCAAGGTATGGAAAAAAATAGAGAAAAATTCTAACTACTCCTCGACATGGAAATAATTCCCTGTGAGAAGCGGTGGGATTGGTGATGCGCATTGAGAAACATTCTATTGTTTGAATACTTTTTTACCTGTTTCATGATCAGACTAGAGGTCTTTGGAGAGAAGGAGCTGTCTCTGGGCTTAACAGCTGCACATAGGTAGTTTGGAGGCAATCTTTGCTAAGAGGGCAAACAGTTTAATCTTCTTACCAAGACAGAAGAGACTGTAGTAAAATACACAGTAATTTGATTGCCTGGGGCTGCTGCAAAACTCAATTTGGAAGATGGCATCTGTAATACCCTTCTCACAACTGCAAACTTTGCTGCTGCCACGTTTAAGCATTTAATTTTTAATTCAGTTCTCAAATTCTGCAGTAAATTTAGACATACCTGTATTAAATATATGCACAAATTGTAATGTTTTAAACATTTCCTAAATGTTTAAGCGTAAGAAAAAGTCCAGTTGTATGAGCAAAGAATGTTAATCCAAATCAGTGAAGGGTAACAGAAGATTTTTCATCAAATGACCCTAAAACGTGTTTACAAAAGACTAAGCCAAATAGCAGACCAGAAATAAACTGGCTTTGTAATATTGATAGATATGAAACTTTGTGACAGAAGATTTAATGTAAAGAAATAGCTGGTAAGTGGGTGGGACACACATTTACTGTTAACAGAGGTACACAAAGCAGGAAAAGAAAAGATGCTTCTAAGCAACCTTCTGTTACTGGTCTGCACCATGAAAGACACCATGGGACAAAGCTGTAAGCAGTCACGTTCTTGAATTCAACGTGTTTTGTGTTGGATAGAGTCCCAATAGAACTCCCCCCCAAAAAAAACAAACAAGGGAAGCCGGAACTCCTATTGAAATGTCCTGAAGAACTTCTCTGTACACACAGATGAGATCAACATCTGCCAGGATACATCACTGAAGACAGTGGGCAGAAATCTTAATGTTTTTTATCAGTTTATCAGAAACATTGTTGAGGCTGAAACAGAGGCTGAAAACATATAGGTGAGTGCTTTTGCAGAGGAAAAATGGCAGATTCTGATTCACTATGTTTCAACAGGAACTTTATCAGTACTGCAAATTAACTCATGCCTTTTGATATCTTGATATTATAGACTTAAAAGAACACTATAGAATGTGTATCAATGAGAGGCAATTATAACTCCCATGCATCATACAATGGGAAAGCTTAGCTATAAAAAAACAAGGGCTGCGTTCTTGGACTACAGCAGACATGGCAGGATGGCAGCTTAATTAGGTAACAGAAATCATACGTAGCTCACAAAGTTACAAAGTTTAAGCTCCAAAAAGAGCTCTAGGAAGTTCAAGCAACTGACTTCATACAAAATAGTACTCAGTAATACCACTTTGCACTGAGACTGGACTATGAGGGTTACATTTGCCTCCAAGTACAGACTTAATATCAAGAAAAATGACACCACACATGCACATTCAACAAAGCTTTTAACCACTGCATTATCTGTCTCACAGACTAAGTTGTTTGTATTACTCTGTATCATCATGGCAAGGGACTTGAATTTCTCCAGTTCACAAAAAAAAACCCCACTAGCCTATAGATGTATATATATCATTGCATTTTGCAGAACCAGACATAGGTGGAAGCATACAGTTATGCGGCCACACATCCCAATTCACACTAGTGCCAAGTTTCCGTTTTGTCCCAGGCCCTTCTTTTTAACACCTTTCCAAATACTGCTTCTTTCAAAATTGTTGGCTTTTTAGAGCAGAAAGTAATCAAAGCAGTGTCATTCTGATCATAACTGATTCCATGCTTATTTGTTCCTTGTATCCTGGGAATGCACATAAGGGGGGATGAAGAGTTAACACGACAGTCTTTGCAAAGCCAAAAGGATCACCGTTATAAAACAAGAATTGTACATCCAAGATATTCTTCCTTTCAAATTACATGCTAATAAATTCTGTCATTAATACCTTTGTCATAAAAGGCTGAACAACAAAGTAATGGGAAGGTATTTCTTTGTAAGTGAAAATCAGTAAAGAGAGCAATACTACCTTTTCTATTTTATAGGTATATTTTGTGATCCTAAAGTTGGACTGTTTTTACAATTTTCCTTACTGTCTTGCCTAAATAAAAACTATTTGCCAAAAGCCAATGTCACTCCAGTCTTCAAAAAGGGCAAGGAGGGCCACTCAGGAAACCACAGGCCAATCAGCATCACCTTCATCCCTGGAAAGGTGATAGAACAGCTCACTCTGGTTGTCATCTCTAAGCATACAGAGGAAAAGAAGGTTATCAGGAGTGGGCAACATGGGTTCGTCAAGGGGAAATCATGCTTTACCAAGCTGATAGTCTTCTGTGATGGTGTGACTGGATGGGTAGATGAGGGAGCGCAGTGGACATTGTCTACCTTCACTTCAGCAAGGCTTTTGACACTGTGTCCCAAAGCATCCTCATTGGTAAGCTTAGGAAGTGTGGGTTAGATGAGTGGACACTGAGGTGGCTTAAGAACTGGTTGAATGGCAAAGCTCAGAGGGTTGTGATCAGCGGTGCAGAGTCTAGTTGGAGGCTTGTAACAAGTGGTGTTCCACAGGGGTCAGTACTGGGTCCAGTCCTGTTCAATGTATTCATCAATTACCTTGATGAATGGGGGATAGAGTGTACCACCAGCAAGTCTGCTGATGACACAAAACTGGGAGGAGTGGCTGACACACCGGAAGGCTCTGCCACCACTCAGCAAGACCTGGACAGGCCAGAATGTTGGACAGAGAGGAACCTAATGAAGTTCAACAAGGGCAAGTGTAGGGTACGGCACCGGGGGAGGAATAACTCCATGCGCCAGTACAGG